TTTACCCAGCGAAGGGTATTCCCGTCCAGCCGTAATGTCATCCTAACAAACAATACTGGAAAATGAAATATCCACAGATTATAAAATACAGACCTTATACTCATCCTGAAAAATTTGTAAGAAAAAGTCTGCTACTTATTTGGATAGGAACTAGGTCAGTCTCTCGGATTTTCTAACATAGCACTTTTAAACCTAGTCCTAACAAATACAAAGATCCCTTAACTCTAGAATAAGTCATAATTACTTTCATATGGAGCCAACAGTATTGAGTCATCCCTTAGATGAATCTCCAGAGTAGAAATGGATAATACTCCCAATAAAAAAGTGGCTTTTATCAGCAATGCTAAACAATTCTACCTGGCACTATGGCATTACAACTTTCACAAGCTGATGCCAGATGGAAATCTGCAATTGCATAAAAATCTGTAATATATACAGTGTAACTCTGTCTCTTTCTTTGGACCTTTTTTGTAAGGAAAAATGACAGATAATTTCTTTATTAGAATTAATTCAAAAAATGTTGACAAAGATACCAACCACATTTAATATTGCTATAACTTGGCGTAAAATATTCAGTCACAATTAACCTTATCAACAAGAGGGCTTGTCTAAACGGACACAATACTTTTAGCCTTAAGAGCTATCTTTCACAAAGAGAATGAACATTTGTGAGTTGCCTAAATAATATTTCTGTTTTTTCTGTGCGTGATTTAAACTGTTCAAGAGTTTAAATAAAGTTTGAGAATTTTTTCCATGTGTTGTCACTGGGAGAAAGAGATGCCAAGGAATGTTGAGATATGACTTTCAATGTGCCATCGACATTACACTACAGAATCCCTCAGCTCACTGTATGTTGTGTATACACATGCATACACACAAAAACATAGAGATAAAAAAATAAAAACAATGTGATAGGCAGAGGACCTGCTACTTTGATATTTACTTATGCGAACAGACTAACAGTGAAAATATTTATGTAAGTGAGTTTCCTATTGGGTCTACAGTGAATAGTTATATATTAATATTTATTAATATTTCCATGAGTTTAAAAAATGACAACACACAAAGATAAAGAAGTAATCTTATCAAGAAAGTATGAAAATTTGCTTAATGAATCTTATCTCCAAAAGCTATTTTACCTCCACAGTTTTGTTTTTGTCTACTTCTGTTTTATCACTACCAATTTTATCTTCTTTTTCAGTCTTTTCTTCACCAGGTTCTCCACGGTTTTCTTTTATCTTCTCTTCCATGTCTACTGGGGTGGAAAAACTGGCTTCTTCCAGCCATTTGTGAGCTTTTTTCCTAGCCTGCCAAACAAAGAACCCAACCCCAAAGTTCAGTTCAAATAGGGAATATCAAATAATGTTCTTGAGCATTAATTAACAATACATTTAATTGCTTCGTTTTTACATTCAGAAATTTAAACATATCAAGCCATTGTGTGGCATTTAGTTAAGTGTATATTTAAGAAACTGTAGGGAGAAGCATTTCTGACTGTGTAAAGATGGATCAGCCAGGGATAATTCCTCTACAGGTATGATACTCCTAACTAACGCATAGAGTTGGCATTAATACCAAAGTTACTAATATTTCAGCTTTATGAGGTACCTTTCAAAGGAATTTACATAGAAATAATTTCCCTCCCCCCAAAAAATAAGAAGGTGGTGTAAAAAAGGAAAAAAATATTAGACAGGTGAGAGATGTAGTGAATTCTTAAAGGAAAAATGAATAGAAAATCACTGTATCTTCAGCTGCTTTCCCAGGCATGAAAGTAGATCAAAGTTGAAAAGTCTTGATGCTTTATACAACTTCAGACTACTGTTATGGTTAGTAGGAAATTTATGATGTCTCATTTTTAACATGAAGTCGAATTAAAATATGTTAAGACGTAAGCCTAAGCTAGTAATCCATTGTCTATCTACGTAGCTAGAGAGACAGACATTCATCTGAGCCTAAGATCAGCAGGTGAATCACCTTTAAAGGGGCCTGACAGCATAAATGTGACCAGTGCTGTAACTAGCTTCTAGCCATCTAACTTCTAGATGATTGAAGCTAGATGAGATAAACGCATGACTTTGCTTCTAACTAAGAAGGTCTGGAGAAGTCCCTCAGAAGAATAAACATGATGAGCAAGAAAAACAATTCTGAACCTCACCTTTGTTCCCAGTATGTCAGACCAAATCTGCTGTGCTCATGAACTCTGTTCTGCCGAGACACCCCTGGTTCAAGGCTTTCTAACATGGCCCATTGTGCTAGCTAGTCATTGCAACTGTATTGCCTTACTAACCTCACTTCTTCTATGAAAGCTTTTCTGTATTCATCATTTTAGTCCCACCCTCCTGAACTTGCTTTCTGAACTGTCTGAACTGAGCTAGGTACTGCTCTGTGTCAGATTTCAGAACAAAGCCCTCCCGCTTTGTCTTTGTCCAAGAAACAGAGGGCAGCTCACTAACAGGTGCTAACCTTATTAAGTTTGTCAGGAGTAGCAGCAACATGCAATTCAAACAGCAGTTCAGTGAGCATGCTGACAAACTCTTCTCCCATATCTGCGGCAAGAAAAACAAGACCATTTTCGTTAGGGTGTTATGATGATAATATTTACACAATCAAATACATACAGTCAAATAGTTTCCCCAAGCACTCTAGCACTTGAAACAGTGACAGTGATACAAGAAAGGGATGTGTGGGTGTGTGCGTGTGTATGCTCAAATAAAGAACAGAACAAGCAACAGAGATACCTGTACAACCAGATACGCTAGCTTGATCCACTACTCTTTCCACCCCATTCTAAATTCCACTAAATTTCACAAAAACAGGTAGGAGGAGAAGAAGCTGCATGATCCCTAGTTATCTGACAAAAATACGACCCACAAAATAACCAAAGAAGAGGTACTAACCTATTCTTTCAAACCAAGGAATAAAAAATGCAGCAGGGCCCGACACAAATAAATTTCAGAGGAAACATACCGGAAAACATGTCCTCTAATGCTCTGCCTGCAAACCACAGCTAAGAGCTGTGTTTTCTTTCTATTTTAAGATTGAGCTTTGCTTAAATGAAAAATGTTTTCTGTTCTGCTTTGGAGTAATGAGCCTTAAAGAAGCTGCACTTTTATTTCACAAGATTTATGAGCAAAGATTAGTATCACTAGTATTCGTATTTCATCTTTATTATACATATTCCTTTGACTACTTGCAGTTGCCATATTCTAACATTCTCTAAGTTCCTAAAAGTTGGTATTTTGGTTGGTTCTGTTCACCTGCACTTACTGAGTTTGGAATCTTCATTAACATTTCCTGGTGGAATATACAAAATCCAGGTTTTTTAGCCTGATGACGCTAAAAGGTCAAAGTCCCCATACTGAGCCTGATAAAAATCCAGCTACTTCAAAAATTAATGTCACATCTCACTGTATTCATTTTTTTGTTCATTTATCAGGTAGGGCCAATTTTTCTATTTTTATGCAAATCTTCAGTACTGAGCTTAAAAGCAGAGGGCCATTACTCTCCAATGAGTTTGGGGATTTTGATAGAACTTTTTACAGTCCACAGTACCTTGCAACAACATCTGGAAATGCAGTGGAATCTTACTCAGATTATACTCTCCTAGAGCAAAGGACATCTCACCCTTGCTTGTAAAGAGAGTGCCCGTCTTTGGTGCTATAAAATAAATTAGTATTTAGCACAAAGAACTCTGCAATGACCAAAAGACTGAGCTTTCCTCTTAACAGCTGGAGAACAGGTCAAGAAGATTGTATTCTAGCAGACCAAAGAGATGCACAGAGTTCACTTCATTGCTGCCCTTATGAGTAAATTTTGGCAATAGGACTTTCAGGTTTTGCAATACAGCACCTCTTGGATACACTGAATTCACTTGTTCTTAAAACAATGCTAAATTGTTTTATAAACTGCAGCATGCTGGAAACTGATAAGCAGTTCACTGGATCAATGCAAAACTACCAAAACTGTTGATAACTGGAATATTCAATTCGATACTCACTTTTGTTACCATCTCCCTTAACCTCGTATATGAAATATTGATGTTAATGGCTTTCAAAATGTAGGTAAAGCTACTTTTTCAGATATTCTCCTCTAATTATTTCATAAACAAAGGAAAAGAAGCTGCAGTGAAAAATTCATGAAATTGAGAGGAAACATTAGACAGAAGGGTATGCATTTGGCTTTCTCCTACTTGTTTCAGAAAATATCTTTTCCTTTTCTTTCTTTTCATATTGAGTTCGCACCTATCTGACTGTTAAGCAAAGACACAAAAAAACTATGATTCCAGTTTCAAAGTTGCAAGAACAAAGCTTAGCCCCATCTTTTCCCAAAACAGTCCTCCAAAGATCACTGCAGTAATTTCTCCTTGTTTAAGATTGAAAGTGTTTACAGTAGAAACTAAAAGCAGCACTAACGTCTCTGAATGAGATTCTGAGAGTCTAGCGTAAGAAGGGATCCTGAGAGTTTACTTAAAACAAATGGCCGCCCTTTTCAAACACTTGAATGCAAAGCACTGGTTTTCCTCCCAGGTAGAGATTTTTTTTTTTTTTTTTTTTTTTTTTTTCACGGAATATATATAGCACTGATAAATGGCACCACATAAATAACATGACTTTGATGATGAGAAAGTGGTAACAAATTAGCAACAAGTGGTAATTAACTTGTTTTCAAATACTGCTCAGTAGCTAGGTAAGATTTAACATTTTCAAACATCATTAGTTAATTTCTGTCTTTTGCAGGGGGGGTGCTTCCTTATATAGAAGAAAAGAACACAAGTTTTATTGAGCTAGGAAGCACAAATCAAAATCCTACTGAAGACAAGTTAGTTGCAGCTTCAAACTGTTTAGCAAGCATGATTAAAACTCAAAATTCCTCCACACAATATAACATAGCCTGCTGCCTCTTGCTAGATTAGCTAGCTTATGTGAAAATATATAGTTCTGTATTAAAAATATGCTATTAAAAAGCATATGGCTTACTGACTTGATTTTATAAGTGTAAAACCTATGAATGTGCTTAACGGGACCTTAATTGTATTAACTAGCTTGAGTGAAGAACACAAACTAAAATGAAGCCTTCTCTTCACAGCAAGACATCAGCTGCATTTAATCCTGATCAGTGAACCTGTTGTTAAATTTTACTGTCTTTTATCTATGCTGAATGCTAAATTATGTTTAAAATTTTTGGTAGCATCAAACACAGACCATTTTCTTAGCATAAATATTAATTATGCCACAGAAATAGGCTTAATGTCTCAACAAGTAATTTCAGGTAAACATTTGCAATTTAAAAAACCAACCAAACCAACAACTCAACCTAGACCCTAAAAGATCAAGTGTGCTCCCAGAAGGATACATATCGATGCCCTCCAGAAAGCTAAACTTATTTGTAAAATATGACCAGAATACTAAGTGTAGACAATAGTGAGTCACTTGATTCCAACTTAAATTATGTAAGGGTTGGTGAACTGAAGTATCAACGAAACATTGAACTGTTCAATAGAACTGTGCTCTATGAGGGGAAACAGACATGCAAATCATATACAACATTACATGGAAAGGTGCTGGACATTGTTTTTACCCAAAAATGGCAGACAATTGTCATGTCAAGGCCTATTAATGGAATTCTTCCAGTTTTACAAGGTTTTATGCTTTTGCTGCATAAATGCACTTAATAAAATCACTTCAGATCCTGTGCATTAAGAAATTCAGGAAGAGGTCTGTTTTCCCTGACTCAGGAGGATGATAAGAAGCCTTCATTCACTCTGACAAGGTTTTAATGAAGATAACAGATTTCTGTGTCAAAGCACTACACAGTGTTAAGAGCACAATCAATGCAGTGTTGCATGTACTACAGATTACGGATGAGAGGCTGAAGAAGGAAGTAAAGGCCACATGTCCCAGGTTAGGAGCCTGACCACAGAATTGCAGGCTCAGGCCTAACAGAAAGCTGCTTTAAGAAACGATTAACCTTTTTATTCTTTTGGAATAGTTCCAGTGGAACTAAAATTTATCCAGCTTAATACTAATAAATGAAACTTATCTGTAGTTCAAATACTAATGAATCTTGAGTCTGATTGCACTAAAGGTCATGAGTAATTTTGAACTGCAGTCTGAAGTAAGACCTATTCAGCTGTACAGTGGAGAGAACATGTGTGTGGTTATTATTTCCGCTGTCACAGAGAAGAGGATATGTTTCACTGCTGAGTGGTTTGCTTTAGCAGGGGAAAACCTGCAGCACACTCTGATTTATTTTGTTTTATTTTGGTTTTTTTTTTTTTTTTAGGTGCTCATTGCCTTGGTCTCAAGCCTGTTTAAAAGACCAGTTAATGTTTCAAGGAGCATGATCAGCAGCCGTGCTTCACTGAAAAAACAGAACTTCTGACCACTGGAGAAAACATCACTTTATGCAAGAAACAGAGTTTTTCCTGGAGACTAGTTTCAAAGCAAGAAATTATTTCCCACAGAAATTAAGGAACAACAGACATCTCATGAATCCTCACTCTTAAGCAGGTAATACACTTTCTTGACTTCTATTTCTCACAACCCCATAAAGGAATGTGGGGTTTTAAAGAATAAAAAGGAAAAAAAGCAGCACAAAACTCTAGCATACTAAGTAAGACTTTACACTGAACGCTTGCTGTCCTCCCTGAGAAGAAACAATAAGCTCCCTGTGAGAGACATCAGGCATACTGAGGAAGTACTGCTAGAAAAAGCAGTCTGAGTGAAAAAGGCTTTCCAGTTAGAATGTATGGATGCTAACACAGTTTTTCTAACTTTCTGGAGGCTAGAGAAATCATACCTCACCATCTTGCAAAACGTAGGTTTTATGGGAAAAGCACTCCCAAGAAGATCAAAAGGATGTGGAAGAAACAGCTTTTTATGTTTCTGTGTTTCTGAAACACAACAATATGGTGTTCAGTGGCATAAACCAGTCTTCAGTCAGGTCAAGGGGATTGCTTCTATTAGCTAGAAGAGGTTTGGTATGGATCTCATAGGCCTGGAAACATGAACTGTGGTGGCTTTAAGCTAACTTCTTATCCTTCTGTTCTCAGCCTGTTCTGGGGAATGCCAAAATTCCTGACCTGTAACCGCATAGTTACAGCATGCTTCTGCTGTTTTAACATCTTTCTAACACTCCACTTGCCACTTCTTGCCAAGCAATACCTAGAAAGCAGCTTTGCCACTATGTTTCAAAGTGACTTTCCTTCAAAAAGTTCCGGGTTCTTAGGTCTCTGTTACATTTTAATCTTTTCTCTATCTAGCAATGGAGGGTACAAAGTCAAGATGAAGTTGCTAAACAGAAAAGCATGGCTAAATACTCCAAAAACTCTCAGATTACACAATTTCATAAACAGAATCTGTAAGAAAACAGTGATCCAAAAGGTTATTATTTTCCTTTCTTATTTTTGTTTTGCTTTCACTGATGATATAGCAAAGTAATATAATACTTCCTAACATTATATTTTCTATATCTCACACTTCAATTACAATATAAATTCAAAATTAGGCATTAATCAGCTTCCAGAACTTTTAGAGTATTAATCTCAGTGACTACCTTATGAAGAATATTAGGATATCAGAAATTATAGTTTGAATTGTACTTTTTTAAATGACTATACAGGGAAGTAACAATTACCTATATGGTTAAGTCTCTGTATTTCTACTTACCTTTCTGTGCCTGCACCACTTCATCATCTGATTCCTTTGGAATAAAAATCTCTTTTATAGCAATTAAATCATTTTTCACAGTCTCCAACTGTTCTCCATCAAGTGTTGCTAAATATGACTGAATCTGTGAAAGAAAGGACAGCAAGCATTCCTAACCAACCCAGAGCATTTCTTAAATGCTAATTTAGAGCCTGATACCAAAATAGGCTAAGAAACAGAAACTTCTCTTTTGCTCAAATCTTGTCTCTAACCTTCTAATGTAGACATATTTTTAGTTCTCATCAACAAAATTTGTTCAATGTCACAAAAATTTCACCAGCCTTGCAAGATCGTCAGGTCTCTATATTCTCCCAGAACATTAGTTTTGCATTATAAATCTATGATTTAATTGCAACCTGTAATAAGCATTTGGGGATTGCCTGGGTGAAGACAGCAGACAAAAAGGGCACAGGCAGACTTCATGGTTAGTCTGAGCACTCACAGGAGGAGTTGTAAAAAGAAGCCTGTTTTCCCTCCTTCAAAATTATTGACAGTCTACCAGTCTACCTGTTCTGAAGAATGTATTGACAGGTCTTTGCATGTCTCAGGTATCTGCAAGTCCCTGCTTATCTAATAGGGTGGCATGCCTAAGAGGGATGGAAGCAGATTCTTTGAATCACTGTTTGTTTGCACTACAGTTATATGGTGTTAATCCCATGATTGCACCCTCTGCCTATGGAAGCTGAGAGAAACGCCTTCTCTCTCCCTTGACACAAAATTTTAGTTTTAGGTTTGTTTCAAGGTTTTTTTTTTAAGCTTGCTTGACAGATGTGCGGACTGGCTCAGCGAGAGACAGGAGAAAGATGTTATTTTCCTATGTTCCTCCTTGACGTTTCCAGCTCGTATGCTCAGGGTTAAATGCAAGATAAAACTGGGAGACCCACCTCAGGTTGTGAAGGACTACCTAGGGCTTTTTTGTCCCTCTCTATAGCATCATCCATTTCATAGAATGAACTGGGAACTTTTTTTAATGGAAACTCTTAAAATAAAAGCTTAAAAATATTTTAAAATCCTGCTACTAGAAGCACACAGGGCATTAGCAATGCCTTCAGCCTCTCCTGCACTCCTCCTGTGGTTTTTGGGCTGTTAGTATAGGTCTCAAGCTCACAGTACTGTAAGTATTTTGTGTGTGTGTGTGTATGGCAATTGGAATACTTATCAGGGAATTGGACTTGTTTGACCCACACAGTTGCATTCAATCCTGTTGGAGTGAGTAGGACTATGAACAAGGGGTTATCTAGGACATAACATGAAGCACATTGGAAACCTCATGGTAACAACCCGCACAAGTCTTACTTACCGTATGGTATTTCACAGTAAAAGAGAAATAGTGTTGACACATGCAATTAACCTGAACTTCTTTTCTATTTCTCTTTTTCCTGTTTTGTGTTGGGTTTTTTTGGTTTGTTTTTTTTTTCCAAAAGCAGGCCCTTGAATCTTATATATGGGTTTTAAATTTATTATTTTTCATTTAGACTTAATTGCAAAAAATAAAAACATGGACGGTATGTACCTAGCTGTTATTAATACAAGCTTCTTTTATTTGTGAGAGAAAAAAGAATATTTTTAAAAATAAGTTGGTTATTTTTTATTATAAATAAACCAGATGTCAAGGAATGTTAATTACAAAAATAAAAAAGAAAAAAAAACTATTTAAAGAAATTTAATCAGAAAACTGTTTCAGTACAAAATACCACTATGAGAATCTACAAAATTCTATTAATCTACTGTCAGAGATCTATTGATCTACTGTCAGAGTCAATAAATTGAGAGCTGAAATTAAAAAATATATTTATCATATAGGCCTTAGTAACATGTTCTTCAGAAACACATTTGTATACTTCTGGTAATAATATCTCGGGGTAGTTTTATGTAACTTTAAAAACTAACACAATAAGAAGGCTTAGGAATTGAGTAAGTAAACTGGAATTCATTTTCATTCACTAGCCTCCAGGTGTAGTAGGTCTAGAACTCCCGAATGTAAGTATCAGTGCCTGATACAAACACAAAATACTTCAACCTCCTTGCAAATTCTGAAAAGACATCTGCATAGTGTCACAAGCTGAAAAAGATACACTATATATGGCTCTAACAAAAATAAATTTCAGTTAGAAGTTGTTTGTTTTGAGTTAATCTTGGAGTTAAATTTTAGGTATATCAAGATTGATTTCCTGAAGCCAAGGACTGGCCCGCGGGACCAGTTGAAGTTCATGGAAAACTTACTGTTCATTCCACATGCACCTGCAGAGTGAAATTAATGTAAAGATCAATTTTTCACCAACCATTTTGATTTATGCTGTCTGCATACTGTACCTGAGCTTCACTTTCATTTGACAGGATTTCCAGAGCTTCAAGGTGAGACAAACCTTGGAATTCATCAAAAAGTAGTCCATAATGTGCTGTTCTTTCAACTGTAACTTGCTGGGCCCGCCTCTGTTTCTCTTTTTCTTTAGCTTCTCGCAACAGCTGCAAAAATAAACATCATTCCTGTTGTTTTATTGGTAGTGCTGTAGGTATGACAGATTTTATTACTTTCTGCTTCTGTTTGTCTAGGAAGTAGTAATAAAATTTGAGACAATATCACACCTGCAAAGCTGAACTTTTAGAGCTGAAATATCCAACTTCTTTTTTGACAAACTTCCTAATAAAATATTTAAGTAGTATTCTAAGTGTGGTTTTCCCAATGGTAATTGCTAACCATCTTTTTTAAAAAACAATGAATAAACAAATAATCTTGCTTGTGTTCTCAAAAGCAATGTCAGCTATGTGTACCATATAATAAATTTAGCCACCAATTACAATGAAAGAAAAACAAAAAAGACTATTTCATACACAGTCTTAAAGATTCGTGCAATCCATTCCACAGATCACAAAATGGGAAGAATATTATTTTTGGGACCTACCTACCTACTTTCATAAATAATGCACCTACATAAATATTTCCTATAAAATATTTTTAGAAGATACTGAAGTCAGTTTCATGTGACAGCAGGACTGACAAAAGAGATTGGCCTAATAAGGTATGACTTCTATCAAAGGTGAGGCAGAACTACACTGCATATACTTGGGGATATTTTGGAGTGATCTTCTTATACACTTCTATTAGTGTATAAGAAGGATAGAATAGTGTATAGAATAGGATCTTCTGTTCCTTCCTTCTGTTCCCAGGAAGGAATGGCCTCTCGTATGAAATTGCCATAGTAAAACTGGTAAACATATTTGAACTGCATCTTAAGTCACATAGAAGCCTCTGAATAGAGGTGAACTCTTGCCACTTACACTATTCCATCATTCAAAATTTCTACGATACTGTCTTCAGTTATTCATTTGTTACAAAAGACTTATGATGGTAGATTCTTCAGTCTCCACCTTCAAAAGATCACTCACAAAACTTTATGTACAAATCACCGAAAAGGAAACACTGTGTTAAGGGACCCATGAGAACTGATTTATGTCACTTTCTGACTCAGATTTTATGTGTGAATTCATGCATATTGTTCAGGAAGGTATTCTCAAAATCTCATTTTAACCCTGTGGGCCTTGACAAAGGGTTACTTGCTTTTGGCCTACTACAACAGTATCAGTCTGTTCACACTTACAATGACAAACACTAAAGATGAAACATCTCATTAAAAAAAAAAAAACCCTTACTCCTCTCTAAAAGGAAATAAACATGTAGTAAAATTACGTTTTTTTTCAATGTCTATTACACAGCCTCCCTCCTCTCAGTGTCTGTAGAGCTAAAATGATTTTGTACTGACAGCACTTGGAATTCTGTTCTGTTTTTGTCATGTCTCTGAACTTTTAAACATGAGTCATGACTGTGTAAGGGTACCATTAGTTTAGATGGACATTAAGATACAACTTTTCACAGCTTTAATTCCTAATGAAACATATGTCATATTCCAGTATTACTAATTTCCAAGAAAAGTAGTATCGTGATGTTTATGCTGGAAGATATCTACCTACAGCTGTTACAAAAATGCCAACAATTTGATTCTGTCTCCAGAGTGTAATGATTTATCACTGCATATACTATCTTATTAAAATCAGCTGTTGCACATGTGATATGCAGAAAAGATAATTTTACATTATCTTTTGTGGTTCTGTGAAGAAAAATAAAGTGGAGCAAATATAAAGCATAATATTTATTTCCATCAGCCTAGCTAATATCTACTGCTCTCCCTGAGGCATCTGAAATTCTGGAAAAAGAATCTGAAACTGCATTGGCAGAGCTGTATTTAAATAAATCCAACCTGAGATAGAGAAACTGTTCTTGCCATCAGTGTTTTTGTTCTCTTAAATCCAGGATCGCTTTCTGCAAGGACATTCATGGTTGTCTTCCCAATAAATTCCAAAGCATCTAAGCCTCCAGATAATACACTTTTCCCCTGTATAAAATAATGCAGTGTGGTTATTTTCTTTCCACTTTATGCTAAGATGAACTGTAAAGACTCTTGCTTTTGCTGACATCATCTTTGAACATTCAGGTCGCTAGATTTTCTATGCTTTAACTAACAGTAGGATTGATACATTTATAAAATTATGTTACTTTGTTCTGAGTACATTTTTAAAAAGAAAAAAATGGACTATACAAATATTTCTAGTTAATTAAAAGATTCACACCAAAGGAAATGTAACACCTGTTGCCAATAAAAAAAAATATGAATACCACTTTAATTTCATCCAAAGTGGCATCTAGTCCATGGGAACATATTTTAGATATGAATAATATGGAGCCAAAGTCCATCATGAACAGCATGACCCCTGCCTTAGCTAACTGATTTCTAAAATATTGACACTTGTGATGACTCTGGAACTGTCTATTGAAATACAGTTGTTTTTCCTGTGTCTTCATATTAGCATTAGTCCTCACCTACAATTTTTCATGTACACTGAAAAAGAATTTTCACTGGCTAAAGATTTCCATTTCAATCTGGATTATGTATCTGCCAGATACTCAAATGCTGATGTAACCTGGTATATAATGGAAAAACCTACCAAAGTCTCAAATGGCATTACAGGCAACTTACTGAGACCTTGAGATATTCTTTTCATTTGGTGACATTCATCACTGTGGTATAGTAGCCTCTCTATGTTTGTGTAAGAGCACATTTCTCTTATTTGCAAATCTTGTACAATGCTCAGTTAATCTTACTGGTGTGCAGCTCTCACAAGCCCTGCGATGCTCCAGATTCTGTAGCAACAGTCTTGGGAATAATCTATAGGAATCTCCCTCTGCTCCCAAAATCTTTGATATGAGAGTGATGAGGCACTCCGAGTGAACTGGATATGCACTAGAAAAGAATTGCCACTTCATAAAACATGCTCAATGGGGATTTAGTCTTCTACGCTTTTTAGCCGATGCTTAAAGTCTCTTATAATTCCAAGGGAAACATCATACTGAAAAACTCAGAGGAAAACATTTGCTATAGTAGTAGTGTGTAAAAAATGTTGCAGAAGAAGATGACACAAAAATTGATTTGGAAACAGTACAGTACAGAATTCTGCAAAAGCTGAAACACAGGAAAACAGAAAAGGATGAAGTGCAAAACACAGAAAACATGTGGATGGTGTAATAGGAAAGAACTGTGGACAAAAGATTTTGCCTCACTGAGTCTACAATCAGACTGCCTTCTGGGAAGGCTAAAATGAAATGAGAGACTAGATAGAGAGGCAAATGTAAGGGGCAGAGACTAACAATACAGTTTAGTAAAAGCATTAAAATAACCAAATGGAGCATTTTCTTATTTTATCTGCCTTCAAAAATGATCACAAATCTTATAACACTTTCTGTTGAAGGACTTAACTGTAAAAAAATTTAGATGATGGTACCACAACTATAAAAAGATTTCCCAAGAATTTGCAGAATTCTGTATTGTTCAGGAGAAGACCATATTTTTCACAGAAACTGGTGCCAAAGTAGTAACTCACTTAGTTGTGTTTGACTTTTCTTTTTTAATTTGATACAGTTCTTTTGCTGTGGAAGAGACTCTAACCAGACTTACAACAGAACTGTTTTTACAAAGACCTACAACTTAACAAATGTAACCTACAGGGAAGTTGCACATAAAAATGATGAAGAGTAACTAGAGCACAAAAGCCAGCTAAAAAGACTCACTGTGTTCTGTACAGCATTAGTGATAGCTGACAACATGCCACGAGATCCAGATGAAGGAGAAGAAGGAATATTCTCAGAAGAGCTTTGTTCCAGAGAATCTTCCGCTTCTAATAAAAGAAAAAGGCAAGCTACAGCATACTTTCAACTCTACAAGTCACAAATTATCATAAACTGGATTCTGTGATAAAAATCTTAAAATTTTGTAAATTGGACTAATTTGGCAGTGTCAAAGAGTTTTGTCCAATTTCAGTGAACTTGAACTTACGTATAATTGGTGTTTCAGCTGCAGTAGGCTCTGCTGTTTCTGACGATGCTGAACTGGCATTATGAATTCCTAGGGTAGTTCCTGCTTTTTCCTTTACTGCTGTTATCCCATGACCTGCAGCAGAAGCATATTTTAGATTATATGATTTGAAAACTTACTAATAACAGTGCATAATATTCTTATACTCCATGAATGACGCCAATCAGAATAACAATTAAACTTACCTCAATTGGTTCATTTTTATCTAGGCTAATAATTCACTTGTTCTACTATATCCAGTATATTAATTGACTAGAAATGATAAAGCTGAAATATAATACAAATGACACTGGATCTGAAATGTAAAACTTGTTTCAGTGGCACACATAAGTTTAGTTCCCTGCTTTTCAAAATGCTAAGTGTTCTATTACAATCAGTTTAAACAGAAATTGACAGTCCTCCTAATGCTGTAGGGTTTGGTCTCATCTAGTTTTCAGAAGTCGAGAACAATTAACCCACAATTAATGGACTGTGGGTGACTGCAAGGCTGAGGTAAGGAATCTGTTCTTCAGTCTGCTGCATAAGTGCTATGTTAGGTAAGTATTTTAGGAACACTGACCCAGGTCCTCAAAGTTATTTCAGGATTTAAGCTCCTCAGTTGCTCATTTGAAGTCAAATTCTAAAGTGTCTCTCCTCAAAACTGCTATTTAAATATACTTTGCAAAGTCTGTTGGTGTCGGATACACAGACAGAATTATTGTTCCAGCGGTACCTGATCTCCTACAGAGATTTTACTATCTTTACCTGATGCATATGTAGTGATTCCCTAACTCTCTGTTCTATTAAAATGATCTAGTTTAATGTAAAGAATATATGTTATTAGTATTTTCATCTGAATAATTTTAACAGAACAGGATTGCTTTGCTGCTTTTCTACAGAGAGTTTATTTACACTAGCAGATCACATGTACTGGATATATCCTGCTATAGGATAGGGTGGGATTGCCTCGTAGTCAGGAAAAGGTGGCAGTAGCTTCCTAATCTGCATCAGCTGTACTTGAAAAATGCTGCCCTTAAAGAGACTACCCTCAAATTATCTGCCTATTCTGCTTCTGGATATAGCCACAAGTATGTTCACGATGGGCTTCTCATTACAAATGATCCAGCTAGCACATCTTCCTTAGCTGGAAGTTTCTGCACATCAGCTGAGACGCAATAAGTAAACAACCAACCAGGCAAGCAATATTTCTTTCCAACACAAAGTGACCCTATTTGATTTTTTTCTTGCAGACTACACCATTACTGCATCTCATGTAAAGCCAATCACTTCTAGCAGTAGGGCAATACAGCATGCTTTAACTATCTGCCTAACTACTTACGAGAAGTATTAATGACAATTTCATACATCTTTGCTTTGTTACCTTAAACTGAACTGTAAATAGATAAATGATTTCAGAAAAGGCATTAATACAGATGCTCAGGCAGATACCTAGACATCTAAGACACTAAGTCAAGCATAATGACTTACTAGATGTTGTCCATACTTTCCCACAATTGTGTGCACTTTCTATTACAAAATTTCAAAGCATCTTTTCTGAATTATATTAGCTACAGCAAAATAACCTATCATTTACCAGTGCTCTGCAGTGTTCTGAATAAACATATACATATATGTGTGTGTGCGTGTGTAGTCATACAAATACGTTTTTGAACATCTGATTAAAGAAAGATGCAGCAAAACTATTTGAAATGGAGTAGGAAGAAGGAAAGCTTTGATTTACAATTCTATGATTTCCAGATGGGTTGCACATCAGGTGCTCTACGAATTCAATAATAAACGTACTCTAGAAAACATATGTGAAGCAGCACTACTGAAAGATCACATACAAGAAAACTGGAGTATCTGGACATAAACACAAAGAACAGATGTCTCCTAAGGAACAGATGAGCAGAAACAAGTAATTTTCTATACGACAGCATAAGCTGCATGGGGTCCTGATGGTTTACAATGAAACAGAGAGCAAGTAAATGCTTTTAGCTGTCTAAAGAAAATATGACCCTTGTCTGTTTTATCTCATGTCTTACAAAATGTAGCAGTATGTCCAACTGTACAGGACATACCAGGTTATGCAGCACAGTAATTTAAGTAATTGCTGGATAACTTCTTGCCTTTTGCAAAATCTGTTCCAATGCAGATACTGGAGAGCGGCATACTACTTTGTCTAATTCCAATCTTCTATGCATTTTAATTAGTTCAATGAAAATATTATCATTAATAGATTCTGGAGTCATTTATTTACTCTCCAAATTTCTACGACTCAAATAACTATTAATTGTGTTTTTAAACTAACGTAATAGATACTCCATGTCACATTCCTTTCCTTTCTGCTACTCACAACGTTTTAAATGAGCAAAAGAGTTCTACTGTTTCCATTGACTTAATTTTTCTTAAGGACTTGACTTGCTAATAAAATATTATTGTCCTGCAATTATATAAAAAATTAACTATGAACATTAAGCAAAAAATTCCTTTTACTGTGTGCAAAAGTTTTTCAGATTAATTTCCCAGTTTTTTTCTGTATCTAAACATGTTTTAAATTTTTTTTTTATATTCTGTAATTTGGTTCTCATAGTTTTGCAGACAAGCTTATACTTCCAAGAAGAGGAGGCACACAGTTGCTGTACTGATATTTACAGACTTACAAAAGGCAGCATTTTCAGGGCTGTGGTTACATGCACTGCAATGATAAGAAAATATTTCAGGTCAGCTAGGAGTGGTTTTGCTGAACTAAACTGTATGGCACGTATGTTTGACTACAACAACAAAACAGATGAGATCAGAAGACCACAACTGAAGCAAGCCAGCACTGTTAGATACACGCACATACACAAACACGGCAAAAGGCGCAGAAATAAAAGAGGTTATGGGAGATAAGCCTACATTTTAGAGATAAACATGCTCTCCTTTGTTACACTGGGTGTGGTAACACAACTGAGGTCAGAGTGTAAACTTAGGAACACCTCCAATGCCTTCATTTACTCATCTGTAACAGCAGAGACAGAAGAGCTATGCAATGGGTATCATTACCCACATGCTTTTTGAAGAAGGCATGCTTTTTTCCCTGTGTTGTTGCTTTTGCTATTCTTGCTGACATGACTTCTTTTCTTTCTATTGGCTGGCAATTTCAGCAGAATATTGTGGTTCATCTTGCCAGCTGGAATCTTTCATTTGAAAAGGAAGGTTTTGCAAGCAGTGCCTAAAAATGTGGCCTGCCTTTGAGTTTGCCTGATCTGCCCAAGGCTGGATAACAGCACTGCTTTAGTCAGATACATCCCACTTCACTTCAGGCTCTCTTATCTTCCACCTCCCAGCTCAGTAGCTCTGGATTCCCTGCAGAGCTGAAAGAGGCCAACAGACACCTCCGGAGGGCAGCTCAGCACGTCTGAAATCTAAACCATTCTCTGTAAGAATCACTGTCCCTTGTCAATCTAGTACTCCCAGGCAACTGGACTCCCTGCTTCCGTGGTACAGACTGGGAGGAAGAGTTTGAGATTTCGTCCCTGGCTACCACACAGTCTTTGTAACCTGTGTTGCACCACGGGGGCATTTCTGATGAACAACCGATCAAAATTTAGATGAATGAAGCTTCATCTGGTTCAAGCTAAAGATGAAGATCGAGGCCTTGAATTAGCATCTGACACTGACTGCAAAACTGAGGAACCTGAAGACAGCTGGGGGTGAATCACTCCACTATGTGAACTATAGGTCTGTGGAAAAGCCAGCTGTGCTCTGGTTTTGTACACTAAAAAAGTGGGACCGCTTTGTGCTCACTCTGAGGCTATCCTATTGGCACTCCATCCACTTCAAGGCTTTCAAAAAATTCTCTTCCTTGTAGTTAAAACAAAAACACAGGCTAGACTCTAATACCTATGCTATCTAGTCTGTAAATCAGGAATAACTCCAATTAAGCTAGTAAATGAGACTAGTTTCAGATCTCTTTATTGTAATGGTAAAAGGTTTTCATAATAGCGATAGGCATAAAGGCTGCTACAACAGATCATTGGTTCTCAACCTCTTCTAGATCATAAGCCCATGATAAAAGACATAAAGAAAGCAAATGGGACTGCCACCCCCAAAAGCATATCCACAATTCCTCGCATCTGTTACTTGCATTCAGTATTCTTAAAATGGAAGAACTGTGAAAAAGGGGTTTGCTGTTCCAGCTGCTGTAAATTGTTCTTTACAAAAGAGTTGAGTGACCACCATGTGATTTCAGGCCCAAAACCAGTTTTCCTTTAATCAGCTGAATTTGTGCAATGAAAAGAAAAAAGTCTTCTGAAGAGATTAACTGTCCTTTTTATGACCACATAAGGTACAAGCATAACACCCAGCCTTTGGGTTTTTTTATATCGTTCTTTATTTCACAGCTGGGGAATATTATCTATAGAGAATGGAAAAGATATTCACATCATTTCAATACTTTAGTTTCACATTATCTGAAGCATTTGCATTGCCGTTCCATGTAGGCTTCAATTCAAGCTATGCAATTCTGATTATTACACATACCATGCGTAATAATATCCAAGCTCATGAACACAGCGACATCACAAGTGACATTTCATTCTGTCATACTGAGAGACAAGAAAAGGTTTTCAGCCTACCAGGGAGAACTATGGGTGTGTGGTATTTCCATGTGCCATTCTACTAGGTGAAGAACTAGATGAGGAATATACACAAGCACAAAATAATCAAGATAGCAGAATATTAATTAAAGCAATGCATGAGAGACATGCATTAAGCAGCCTTATAGTATGAATTTCAGAGATCATGTAAACTAAACAGCTGGGTTCTATTTTTTATTACTTTTATTGTGTAAGAGGTATTGCAGCTGTTAGTCTTACCAATGGCACTAGAGGTAAAAAACACCATACTTAGATGGAGTGAAGCACATGCATACAGCATGACAGAGAACAGACTTTGCTTGGAAATGCTGCTTGTTGAGTAGCATAACTTAAGCACCTTATGAACGCCATAATTCATCCATATAAAACAATACAGCATATGAAAGGCAAGGCTTGTAGAAGAATGTAGTAATTTTCATTAAGCTAGCAAATAGCTTAGTTGGTAAAAAACCC